CGCCCCCCCTGTCAGCCGGACCTTAATACGCCCCTCCATATTTCACAAAACTGGTTTGCGCAAGGCTCTGCTTATGAAAACTTTGAAATTGTTAATAAATTTTGTCAAAAATTATATGAGTCGTGTATCTTAGGGCTCAGTTTCAAAAAGATATCTCGATCTACAGTTTACCAGGATGAAATTCGCTGTCTTTTCCTTAATTTATTTGTGACCTTTGCTTGTAACTTTAGGAAAGAAAGTCGTTAGCTGACAATGCTTTTGTAAATAATTTATTACGAAACATTTCGTAACATTTTGTTGTTGTTAAGTCACGAAGACGTTTTACAGTGAAGTTGAAGTGAATTTAAAAGGAGTAATGCGACACGAAGGTGTGCTCGAAGCCAACAGGAAACGGAACTGATGCCTCCTTTTTTTTTTTCGTGATCATCAAGACTACGAGACTAGAGAAGAAAGTGGGGCAGCAGTAGTCAATAAACTCGAGACCCCTGCTGGTCGGCAAAGAGAAATGGCCAGTGATATTTCAGCGCTTCTTCACAGACTCACTCACTCACTCTTTTTGTCTCTCTCTCTTTCACACACACACGCACACAAACCCACACACCCCGTACACAGACGGAGTTTGCCACTACCTCTTCCCTTTCCTCTCCTCCCCCCTTCTCTCTCTCTCTCTCTTTCTCTCAGCGCAGAGGCAGCCGTCACTGCCGGCCCTAACATAAGGAGCATTGTTCAGCCGCGACTGCCTGGGCGGGGTGCAGGGGGCGTGCGGCAGGGAGCTGAAGGCCCGGTTGCTGTAAGGGCTGTAGTTAGGGGAGGGCAAGGGGTCAATCAAGTAGACTGTTACGATTGGGAAAGCGATCAGACGACTAATGTCCCCTCTACATATACTCACCACACCACTGTAGAATAGAGACGATTCTTACACACAGGCACCTGTCAGTGAAAAATCATCCGTATCCAAAACTCTTCCTTAACATGAAGAGAGTAGGAGATATAATTCACGAGGAGTGGTTGAGGAGGAGAGGATTTAAGAGCCAGCTGCTGCCCGCCCGCGCAACCCAGTCCGTCAAATACGCGCGCGCACACACACACAACATCGCAAACTGTTCATACGCACACGCGTCAGAGGGCCGCGCCGTTTCCCCTGCGTACTATTTTTTTTTTTTTTAAAGAGCTTTGCTGCAGGGGGGTCGAGGGGCCTCGGCATGGCATCGCAGCGCTCTGTGCTTTTGCCCTGATTTACTGCGGAGTTGGAGCGGAGGCGGGCATCCGACTCGCGCCGCCCTGCGTGTCTGTCTGCCAGCTGAGTAAGGAGAATCCGGGCGGGGCGGGGTGCATATGGTTTTAAGGTGAAAGCGATGGAGTTAAGTCAAAACTAGGCAGTCCTTCCTCGCAACCCCATGATGCAAGGTCTTCAGTTAATGCCGCTCCATGTTCATAACGTGAATTGGCGTGTTTTGTTGTGACCAGTGACCATGGACGTGTCCGCCCTTCGACTCTTCAGGCCGAGGGGTACGGTACGCACCGTGCACGGCAGTCGTGGGCGTATGTCCCCCACCTACCTGCGCAACCTCGCGGCCGAAATTTCGACTTGGTTTTCCCCCGCACAAAACGACCACTGCTACCACTTGAGAGGTAGGGGAGGGGGGAGTGGAAAAGGGGTGGCACGGCACAGGGGGGAGTACAACCTCTACCACCCCAGCCCCCCGCCGACCGACAACCCATCGTTTGACACCACTCAGGCAGTGCAGTGTGTTGTTTGATGCGGTCCTTAACTCTGCCGCTGCCTCGGCTGGCAGTTTCGCCACCCCTGCCGCCCTGCCGCGCCGCCGCCGTGAGAGTTACGAATGTTTTCTGCGCGGAAAACTGACGTGGCACGGCCTTGTTTTGGCAGCTGCAAACAGACGTGCGTCGCCGCGTACGAGATATTGCGCCAAGCGGCGCATGTGTGAGTGTGTGTAGTGTCCGTATGTGTGGGTGAGTGTGTGTGGTCTGTGAATAGGTGTGTGTGTGGGTGTCCGCGAGTCAATAGGTACGAGGTGAATACTGCTAGTAGTGCTAGGGAACGAATTTTAGTGCACTTTCAAACGCACGTAGCCCTGACGTTGCAAAAGGGATTGTCTCAGCGGGCGACCCATGAGCACCTCTTAGGCACCTCTTGAGGCACCCCTTTGGGTGACCCCTTGGCTTGGGCACCCATTGGGCACCCCTTGTTGAGGGTCCCTTGAGCGTCCCTTGGGCGTCCCTTGGGTGACCCCTCACCCGCTACACTGGTGTACTTACTCTCTCCTGAACTTGGCGTCCTGGCCGCGGCCCTCCTCGGCGTGTCGGTGGTCGGAGCTGGGGGGCGAGGGCCAGCAAGTGCTGGGCCGGCGCTCCAGGCTGGCGGAGGGCACCCAGCCGCACTGGGACGGGTCGCTGACCAGCCGCACCAGCCACCTGCAGGACACATCGTGTAATAGTCACCAAGGCGTCATCTTGGGGGTGTCCACAAAAATGACGTTGTTTTAGGGGATGAAATGCTCTTTAGGTAGCTGTCTATCATTTGAGTTCGGAGTATTGTCCGGATTGTCAGTAGCTAGACACAGCATTCTATTGCCTAAAAACAACAACATTGATTTTACAGTCACATATAATGCCGTAAAAATACTCCAACTCCTAGAATGCCCTTCCTTCCGGTAGCTCTCATTGCTAGTAGAAAAACTTCAAAATAAATTCTTTATTAACGAACTGGGAGAACAAATGCAGGACGGCGTACAAGAAGTGGTATGTGGAATTGAATTCTATGAATATG